TCTTTGGAAGATATCACTGAACATTTATTTAACCATAGCAAAAGTTAATTTCTTACTTATGTTAATTTCTCTGATTTCTTTTGCGTTTATTTTAAATTAGACAAATCTGATATTATTTTAATCTCCAATATGTTATTGAGATAGTTCTTTAATGCTGATCTAACCAGCAGAATCACTCGCCAGGTTTAAACCCCAGTTGTGCAGGCTGGGCATGTTGTAACACTGTTACAATGAGCCCCTATTAGAACAATGCTATTCTATTTGAATGTAAAGGTGAATAAAGAAGAGTCAATGTTCAGAAATGACTCATTATTATTATGTTTTGAACTATGTTGTATAGCTGTGTTTACCGTTGTGTTCGCTGTCAAACTCAAAAATTACATTATTTGTAAAAATTAAAAAATGCCATTATTTTATATGGAAAAAGTTACTAATTGTATTTTATTGAGAAAATATTTTAATTTGTCGTGTATACTTTTTTTTTATTAGATCAGACAGCATTTAAAGCTGTCATATGGTCATGTTACAATGTCTCCCACCTATGGGGCATGTTGTCACATTTCACTTCCATTCTTTCGGGGTATATCTAGAAAAAAAGTATACACTGAATTAATAAAACAAAGCCATAATTGTACTAGACTTCTGTGAAATGAATGTGGGGAAAAATAAATGCCTGCTCTCCCCTTTTGCTTTACTATCTAAGTTAAGTGTCAAAGAGGAAGTAAAACGTCATTCAAGCATGCATGCCAAAAAAAAAGAGGTAGCCTATGAATTCCATAACGTTCATAACTTCTATACTGTCTGATTCGTCCCCACTTGAGGGGCCCCGTATAGGGTCTTTAACTGTTGGTGGTATGTGGTCAAATTGACAGTGCATCAAAAGCAGAAGTGAAACCTGTCATGCTCAGGGCAGAGAGAGGAACAGTAAAGCATGGCCGCTTCTTTGAAACTTATCAATGAACACTTTCAGTTTTACTCAACCTGTTGTATCGTTTTCTAAACCTCATTAGGTTTAATCTTTTACTTATGGCTGGAAACCTCTGAGATAAAACCAATCTGTGGCCTCAAAATACCATTAAAGACGTTTTTTTACCTATAAGTTAATATATTAGTTAACATCGACGACTAACAATGGAGAATACATTATAGCCTTTATTAGTCTTGGTTAATGTTTTCTACATATCTGAAAATTGTAATATATATATATATAAAACTTTAATATTGACATTAACCAGGGAATGCATGGACACGTGTACACCTTAAATGCAATGTGTCTGTGGATAAAAGCATCTGCAAATGCATAAATACATAGACCAATATTAATATATGACTAAAATGAAATGCTGTGGAAATATTGCTAATAGTTAGAATCATAAAAATAGCATGTAAATATAAAAAGTATATATAGTTTTTTATATTTACATGCTATTTTTATGATTCTAACTATTTTACTCTATGCATCAGTGCAATGAAAAACAGCAGCAACAACAAAAAAAAAGAAAAGAAAAATGTATATGCCCTGTGATCTGCGGAAATGTTTGAGTTATTTCCTGTAAGCTCAATGTCTGCACCTCTGCACATTTGAAGCCTGTTTAAATGCTTCACACGGTTAACACTAAAGAAGGACGCTGAAGGTAAATGAGTAACAGTCTCAGAGGAAGAGGATTCTATAAAATATCAGCTTCCAGTGAATTGGCCTTTTCCAGTGAGGAATCAGTTACAGTCTGTGACTCTAGATATGCCACAGCATCAGTGGATGATGTTCAGCAGGACCCCCGTGGAGCAGCCTGTTCTCTGCTGGAAACAGTTACTATCACCGGTTTACAGGCGACACATCCCCCACCCCCCGCACACACACACACACACACACGCGCGCGCTTCTAAGGAAAGCTGTGGCCGCTTGTGTTGCAATGCTTGATCGCCTGCAGAGAACGTTGTTAGTTGGTGTCTTCCTTCTTATCTTCTTTAATTCCTGTCTTGGTACCCCTCTCTGAAGATGACAATATTATCAGGGGGAACAGCAAAACCACGATATGCCACGGTGGACCTCACTTACAACATCTTGTGGTAGAACTACGAGAACCTGCTGTCCGTCCTTCTTCAAGCTAACATGAGCTGAATCAGCGAGGTTAAAGGTCACGAGAAGCAAGAAGGGCCGAATTCAGAACGGCATACTACGCATCTTACTATTCCTGCCATATCTTTATATGGAGAAAATAAGAATAGTGTGCTATTCTGAATTCAGCTGCTATTTTAAAACCAGTTACATTTTGGTGCAAACTTATTTTTCTGTTTTCTTCATAAGCATTTGGTATGAAAATAATATGTAAATATTCTAAGCAGAGAGATGCAAAAGCATTCTTTACACAACCAATAAGTACATTACGTTTTATAACCTTAAAATACTAAAAGTCATATAAAGGGTCATATAACATCAATGCCTGCTTTCACAAACAATGCTTAAGCCTAAAATGCATGTTTAAGCTGTATTAACTGAAAGAAACTTGCACTGATATATGTTAAAATATGTCAGTGCCATTGTTTTGTCTCAAGATTCACACCAGTAATGTTTTTTCTTATGCACGATTGTAAAAGCCACTTGTCGTAATTGAACTAAGGTCTGGCTTATTCTAAGGCTTAAATCTTTTAAAGACAAACAACAACCAATTAAAAAAAAAAATTAAGGTTATTTAAAACTTAAACTCATATAAAAATATGTATTAAATTCATATGACACCAGTAGTGTACAATAAATATACATACATTAATGCATATCATTTCCAACAAAGGTTGTGTCAATTTAGAGCAGTTTAAAAAAGCATCCATGATGCTTTCTTTATGTGATTCTTTCTTAAGGTTTCCTTAGAGGTTTACAAGTTTTTAATCTGTGTGGATGTGAAAGTGTATTATTATCTGTTGTAGAAAAGCCCCTTCCACATTTGTCATCCATGATGATTCATTTATTGTACCCCACTTCATTCTTTATTTATTTTTTTACATTTCAAGCACCCATACAGAAAAAAATATAACTGTATTCTACTAAGGGACGCTGAACTTTGCTTGTTAACCCATTCAAATCATTTTGTTACAAGCTCCAAGTTGATCACAGTGTATTTCAGCAGGTTCCTTCAAGACGACAGCGTGTGAACATGGTCTTTGCGCACCTTATGCTTATCTTTGTACGTCTGTCTCAAAATGTTCTCTTTTCATAAAGTCCTGATAAGAGAAACTAAACCTTAATAGAACTGTGTAAATGCTTCTGCTTTAAAATTGCAACATTTCTTTAAGCAGTGCTGATGAGGCAAACAAATGTTCCAAACAATGGGATTCTTTGTTGAATGAACACAAGCCATTTAAATGGCATGTCCACATGTCTGAAACATGTAGCTGGACTACATATTGGAGCTATTTAAGAGATAGCTAGAAGCAATATGAATGAGTGATGCAAAACAGTCTTGGTTTTACAACCCATTGAGTTTAACAACCACACATAGCCACCATAAAGTGCATGAAAGCTGGTCTAACAACAAACTTTCTTTAGGTGTATCCCTGAAAAATCTGACATGTACAGAATTATTTATAATCTAAAGCTATGATCAAAAAAAAACTTTTGTGTAGGATGTATTTTGAGATGAGGTAGAGGACTGAAGTGAGTAGGCCTATGTGGCTATGTTGAGATCAATGCATTCACATTTACTGAGCATTGCAATCATCTCATTTCATTAGTGGAATATATTATGTAAATATTAAATGCATTCTAGATCAAAGTGTGAAGGATACACTAAAAGCATGGTTCTATAGAAGGTTATACGGGGCAGCTGCTGAAAGAAAGCAAACCGAGCAGTGTGGTAATGCTGTGCATCTGTCTGGAGTTCACTAGGTCTTGGTACACTAGCCTCATTCAATAATGGCCTCTAGGTGGCAACATTTATAGGACTTTCAAAATACATTCAATTCTGTCCAATTCACTCACTGATGAGCAGTGTGATTTATTAAATGTTAGTTTGTGTATCCTGGATTATTATTGAACTCAAAAGGAATTAAATTTACTGCATTTAAAAAAAAAAAAAATTAACATAGGCCTATAGATTTAGGTATATACATAGCTAATTCATGATCATTTTCATATTTGGTGTTTTGGAATTTCCTGAAAACCATGTTGCACTTAATGACGAATGAGTTTTTAAAAGTGCAAATACCCCATATTGTCTCTTTAATATGAGGTCATGAAAACGGCATAGGCTAAGAATTATGTTTAATTTTAAATAGTTTAATAGCATGATACACTACAATGAGCGTGAATGAGAATTACATCTTCTCTTTCTTGCATTCTGAGGTCAGTGGTCTTAAAGAATGCAGGATTCCGCCCATATGTCGAGTTCGCGGGAGACTCATAAATCATTCCCGCCACCTGAGAGGGGGTGATTTTACCCTGCACGTGTTGAGCCGGATGCGATTCTTTTGTTATGTAACCAACGCCTATATCTTCCTCATATGCTTTGCAGTCACATATATAAGTTCATATTTCTATCCCTTAAGTCACGCGAGATTAGTTGTAGCCTAACTGTGTATATAAGGAGTGTCTGTTTGAGAACAGTATGTCCTTGTACGCATATTACCCGCCAAAACAGACCACAGCACAACGTGATCGCGGCTTTCTTTCTATTTTTTTTGTAGACACTACTATCGCAATTGCAAACCAGACCGGCATTTGTGAACTCGCACACGTGTGTGAGCTACAAATGCCCCCCCCCCCCCCCCTCCCTTCTTTTTCTTGGAATTGCATGGTTCATTGAGTGCACGAGCACTCCGCCAGAGCACTAGGTCGGACGTATATTCCCTTCATTACACCACGGCCATTCAACCGTTTTTGCGTGCAGGATTTTATTAAACATCAAGCTACAGACTTTAATTAGGCATCATCACAATAAGAGTTTTCATTCAACACTAGCTGGATGAGTTTTGGCGCGAGTTTTCTAACGCGGAGGAATTGCGGGAGTGCATCGCCCTTTAAAATTCAATGGTCTCCATTCGTCGCCACACCCACTGCCAGCTTCTGTCCGCGTGGGCTCTGAAATGCCGCAAGGAGGCTCTGCGGTTTTTCCAACTATTTTTAAAATAATTTTACAAACATTTTTTTTAGACTGACCGTCTTTGTCAATCTCCTTTTTTCGCCATAGTGTTTGGGAAAAAAAAGGTAAGACGTGGCTTTTTGTTCTTTTCCTGCATGTCTACCGGCTTCCTCCATATGATATTACAACGACCATCTCTCTCGTACTTTCGCAGGAAGTGCTTTACTCGTTAAGAAATCAGTAAAAGTGTGTTGGAAAGTACTGCTTTTATGCTTTTTTCGCAGATGCTTTACTTCTATGATCCGTTGTTTACTTTAATACGCGATTACACATGGCATAATTGCATGTCTTTTCATTCATTGTCTATTCATTCACTTACTCACACGTCAATTTTCCTGCATTTTACAGTATATAGGCTATATTAACTATATAGTATAAGTATCTGCTTTGTTATATTTAAATAATACTATTAAGAGTTTAAATATTAGTTACGTTCAGATCTGCAGGGATATTTTTGTTGAACTTTTCTACATGGCAACTTTTTTTCAGTTAAAACACTTTATTCAATGCCACAGGAATATAGAATAGAGGTTTTTGTCACATAGTATTATCAACAATATTGCCAGAGAAAATCGTTTTACTTGAATTACAAATAATTTACGACATAAACATGTTTTTTTTTGTTAGCTTTCTAAAAGTCAAACCGAATGATTTAACTTTTTAAATGTGAAAAAGTTTAGTTTGGAACAAAACTCGTGCGGGACCTTTCCAGCTGTTCAGTGACATCACGCACGGTCGACGGCAACTCCGCCCACTTGGGCGGGGCCACCATTGTAAACACGAATAAAATGGACGCGCGAGCCGGGAAACTTTTCAATCGGCAGTGCATGAGAACAACACTTCGCAGGCCGTTTAGAAACAAGCCGCTGTTTGTCGGTAGCAGAAAGCCGGGTGGACTTTTGAATGCAAACTTTTTCTCTTTCTAAAGGATTCTTTTCTCGTGCGCTTTGCGACAGGTTCGGTCAAGATGTTGCAAGCTTGTTCTCCATCGCACGAGTGGCTCTGCGACTCCGAGCCGCTGCTGTTTGACGACGAGTTTTGCTCGAGTCTCATGAAGGACTTGCAGTCCATCCCCACGCCGCCCCAGTCCCCTCCGATGAAACCCGGGCTCGCGAAGAATTTGTCCACGGTGGACCAGTTGGAGTTGGTATCTGAACTTTTAATGGAGGATAGCGACTTTCTCCAACTGGACTGGAACTTTACCGGCACCGCGGACGACCCTCTCTCGGAGGACTTACTGTGGCGCATCGACGGAGGCAAACACATCGAGGATAAACTCTCAGCGGTGCTCTCCACGAGTCCCTTGCTCTCCGATATTGACACTGAGATTTTTGCCGAAATCGCCGGCTCTACGCTGGATTGCCACAATGTGGCGCTCGCTTGTCAGGCTCTGGAGATCGAGGACTTACCGCTGGATAGCCAGGAGCTGATCGAGTCCACGTCTGATTACGGTTCACTGTCCACCGGAGGAGAATCGTCTACAAGCGATTCTGGTGAGTCTTTTGATTCATTTAGACTGTTTATTTTCTGATGCATTGCATGCACATGTGTTCTAAAGTTAAAAGAGAGTGGCTAGTAAGTTTGTTGCCATTTTGAAACCCCATGGATCAAACTTGACCTAATGTGATTTGAACTGTTTGTGCTCCACAGAGGAGGAGATTGACGTTGTGACCGTCCGGAGGTCGAGCACACTGACACGTTCTCAACACCAGCAGCAGTTGGAGGACAGTCGGCGTGAGCAGCAGCTTGCTATCAAACGCTGTCACTTTGAAATTCAGCAACAGCACAACTACGCCGCCCCACGGCCCGCCTCTCCTCCTCCTCCGCCCTCCCCCCCTCCGAAACGCTCCCGAGGGTCCGGAGACTCCCACCGAAGCACGCAGAGTTCGGGACGCTCTCGCAGTCTGGCCTCCCGACAGGCGGTGGACACGGAGGACGAAGAAGAGAGGCGGAGGACACACAACGTGATGGAGAGGCAAAGGCGCAACGAGTTAAAGAACTGCTTTCTTAAGCTACGGGACAACGTCCCCGAACTGTCCAGTAACGACAAGGCTTCCAAGGTGGTGATTTTAAAGCGGGCGAAAGAAAGCATAAGAAATCTGGAAACGGAGAACCAGAGACTTGCACAGAAGAGAGATAAACTTAGACAACGACAAGAACAGCTGAAAGCCAGACTGGAAAAGCTCAAGAGACTCTGAGCGTCTGGGACTGAACGTTGCCGGTTCGGCCACTAGATAGTCGTCTAAGACCCCGCTGGTTTGAGGACCGTATAACTTTTGACTGACTGCGGAGACCTCTATCTCTTAGGAGATTTGGGATTTTATGTCACCGTTAAGTGCTGTTTGGAAACATGCATGGTCAATGCAAGAAATGTTCTCAGTGTTGTGACTTTGCATTGTGTTTAAGTCATTTTGTTCTTGAGTCTTAATATGAAACTGTTTCATAGACTGTATGTTGGATGCATAATCAGTTAAAAGCATAGTTAGCCTTAAAATAAACGAGCCCTAGATGATCCTCACACATTCTACCTGTTTGTTCTTGGCATACACCATTTCTTCTAATGTTTTGGGCTGGATCCAAAGGATGTTAAAATAAGGGGTTGAATGTAATTTGCATATGATTACATTTTTCTAGACTTAAAGTTTGCATTTAATGTGATGTTCAAACTGGAAAGATAAACTATATTGGATTTTGTGTTCATGCATAGCTTGTATTGTTGAGGTCTGGAGTTATGGAGGGTGTTCACACACTCTGTTTTTGACTCCATGTGTCTACTTTGTTGGTTATTGTATGTTCCCTTCTGTTTCTTTGTTTATCTACCTCTACCAGGAAGAAACCTGGCTATTTTATTGCCTTCATAATGGCAACTTTTTTTTTTTATGTAAATACCTCTTGTTAATTATGTATCATAAATTATTTAGGCTTTTTCCCCTTGGTTCATTTCCAGGTTTTTTTGAAAAAAAAAGAAAAAAAAGTTCTGTTCATCCTCAAGTGCACTTTGTTTTATAAAGTAATAAAGAATGAGCAAGATGACTCTTGTGTTGGGATCTTTTTATTGGCACCATTCAGAAAATCACATCAGAACATAATTTAATGATTTGAAGGTGTGTTTCTTCACAGCCACACACACAGTTGCACAAGACTAAACCCTTTAAAGAAAAGGAATGTTTGAGTGGTGGAATTCGGGTCAAGGTGAGGGGGTGGCTGGCTTGACATTTGTTGAAAGTCTAAAGGGCCTGATTGCAGCGGGTCAATAAAACATTAAAGTGTAGGAGTGTTATATTGATACAGTAGCACTGACTTGCCCATATAAACTGCAATCCCATAACTGAACCTACATGCTCAAGCCTTGCTTTAAAGTAAACTGAATTATGAAGCATATACTTTATCTCAGTAAATGTTTAATTTGGTTTCATGTATTTCTCCCTTTTCCCACCACAACACACTGAAGTGTTATAGTTATGAGGGCCTGTCTTTTCTCATTGCATAATCAATACAATTATCTGAATGTATGCGAGTCAAATTCTTAACTAGCATTTAAAAACACTTAATGCCAGTGATACTTTGGGTAAATATTTGACTTACTGCCCTAGTTGGCTCTTGAAGAGTAGCACAGTTGTATGATTCAATTAAATGTCTAAAAATACATCGTTGGTCTTGGTAAAATGCTACCTTAAAAGGTGGGAAAAAAATTCTTTAATAAAATCACTTTTATTCAGCAAACATTACATAGATCAAAAGCAAAGACGTGTTACAAAAGATTTCCATTTCCAATAAATGCTGTTCTTGAAAAAGAAAATGACAGTTTCCACACAAAACAATAAGCAGCACAGCTGTGTTCCACATTGATAATAATCAGAAATGTTTCTTGAGCATCAAATCAGCATATTAGAATGATTTCTGAAGGATCATGTGAAACTGACTGAAGATTGAAAATTCAGCTTTGCATCACTGGAATAAATCACATTTAAAATATATTCAAATAGAAAACAGTTGTTTTAAATTGTAATCATATTTGACAATATTACAGTTTTTATTGTATTTTTGGTAGAAAAGACCAGGCCAAAGGACCGACAGTGTCAGAACGGGTTTTAGACCTCCATCACTTAGTCTCTTTCATCTTTTGTGCTTAAACCTGTTGGGTCATGGATGCTCAGCAAAAGAATGAAAGCGAGGCGTTGTAAAGTCTGCATTCAGCCTTTAAACATGCAAATGCTCTGTCATCTAGACTAGACCACTGGCCCCTGAAACATTCTGCAGTTGTAGACGGAGAGGTGCTAAAGGGACCACGCAGGGTAAAGCGAGACCCTTACGAAAAACACGAGTTTTGGGAAAAGACCCTCTTCTCTATTTCTCAAGGGTCTGTGGCTGAAACTGTGCAGATTTCATATGATAACGGTTTCAATAAGCAAATGTGCTTTTAAATGTATCTTTTTCGTCACACGCTAAACGTCAAGATTGAAAGTTGCAACATCTGTGGAAGGGTTGAAGACACACACGTCAGCGCACGTTAATCTCGTGTCCCGGGGCTGTTCAGCGGTGAACAAAACATCCTGACAAGGATTCCAGAGAGTTTCTAAAGCTCCTCTTTACACCAGAACCGTCCAAGAACACAGGGAATCACCTCAGGTCTGATCATAAATGATAGAAAAAGACAAAGACAAGAAAAGAGATAAAAATCTATCTACTTTAGCAATACAACCATCTCTCTTTGAAACCGGGTGCTTCCAGCCATCCAGTAAATACATGACCAGAGGAGTCATCCTCAGGAGGCTTTGGGGAAACTCTCAAGAGGTGGAATGCACTTTAAAATTCGTTGTAATTTAATGCATAACTTCCATATTGGCTGAAACACATCAAACAAAACAGGATTCGTAACAAACCCGTAAGACGAGTACAAACTGCGTGACAATTCTTGTTGTTCATGTTCTTTAATCAGCGTTTGGACTTCAGTCTGTTGGTCTGATGTGGATTGTCCCTGTTGTGTTTGCTTCATCACACTAAAGTGTCTCTGGCCATATGTTCCCTTGCAGGAAGGTGACAAGAGACGGGAGCCATGTTTGCGCTGGGACGTTTCGCTGCCTTCCTACTGTCATTAAGACATGAAAGCAGATTTAAGAGCCGATGACCATAAAGGTCACACACATTCATTAGAATAATTCATGTCAAAGAAATCAGTCAGTAAAAGCATCCCGGCTAACAGAACTTTGACTAATGTTCTGGCAAGGCTCTCTCAAAGTTTAAAAGCAAACTTTCTTCCAGTAACGTTAACAAAATGGAACGTCTTCTTAATCTTCGCATAATCTTCGGTTTGTTTTAATAACCTACATTAGCTAAATGTTCTTAAAACCTGTTTTTGTTTGCATATAGGCTATATATAAAATGCAAGGGCTAAAATATGATTTATGAAAGCATTTTTCAAGCACAATTGACCCAGAGTTATTTTCAGCAATGAGCCACAGGAATGAATTAAGTGATTGACACATAAATTAGATTTTGAGGCATGAATGACTGCTGGCTGTTTTCTGAAAAATGGCTTTTGGAGAGGTAGCAGTTTCTGAAGCCCCCGAGGGGTCGGCACAAAAATGCCAAATAGCCAGTGAGATCCACACGCTACGCCAACACGTGAGGCTTTTCCGAGTGGTAGACAAGGACAGGTGTGAGATCTGATTGAGGCTAGGATACACCCTGTGGGGTGTGTGTGCAGGGGACAGTCCTGGATGAACGTGTGGAGCTGGGAAAGTATTTGGGGGACAGTTTGAGATCAATGCATGTGTGTGTTCAGCCCTTGATTTATGAAGACACAACACGCACAAGCCACAGGGTTAAAGTCGCTCAATTCCAAAGCACATCTTCCCTGTGCATTACAAAACACCACAACTGACCTCAAATGGAGTTTAAACAGAGTGTATGTAAAACGTGGCCATTTGCAACAAACACATTAAGTTAATTGTAATGGTTTATTGAAGGCTTGAATGCACTACACAACCTCTGCCCAGATTTATAGTTGCTGAAAGTCAGAGCCAGTCAGAGTTCACCGATTTCACAGAGAATCGTGTAAGTGAATGATCAGCGCAGCCTCAGATTCGGATCAGTCGGGGGAAGTCTGCTGATTGTTCACATTGTTTTCATTTGTCATTCGTCAGTGGGCTTGTTCACACCACGTCACGTTTTTACTGATCGGATAGCTATCTGATGTGTTAAAACTCTTCCGTTTACACTTGGCCACGTAAATGTGTCTCCGCCAAAACGAAAATAAATCTGATCTTAAATTCCTGTGCTATATGCAAATTTTAGTCTCAGTGCTTTTAATAAAGATGACTGTGTTGAGCTTGAGGACGCAACGGCGAACTTTCAGTTTCATTTGCGTGCAGTTTGCGTCGCTTGCTGAAGAGATACTCGGCATTGAAATCCTACAGGTTTGGGACATCATGAAAGCGAGTAATCTCTTTAACTTAGGAAATATAATTGGCAATATTAGTACCATGAACACAACAAAGTAAAAATTGACCCTATTAATGCACATTGTTTTACATCGGTTTTGAAATCTTACCAAAAAATGATCAACTTTTCCGAACCCTCCCTTCCAACCAACTGCCATAAAGAAATCGCTTTTTACAATCCAATTAAAACCCATTGAGAAAAAGTCCCATTTGACATCTTATCTAACTGAAATATACTACACTGCAGAAGTAAAACGGCATTCAAACACTGTTGACTTCAACACAGCTATGGTGCTCTTTGCATCTCAATGCCCATGAAACAAACATTACTCTTTCTTTATGATCTTATATTCTTTGTCATTATAGGCCTCTATGTCAAACACACCAACAGAACAATGGGTGTGAATTATTTGCTATGATTAATGTGTTTTGACTTGAGAATAGCATTTAAGGAGCACAATACGGCTTGCTACATGGCACACTATTTCACTTTCATCAACAGAACTGATAAAATATACATCATACTGTGTCAAACAACTGACTTTATGTCCCTCATGCCGTGATTGCCATGCAAGTTATCTTCTAGATGGTTATGATAGGCACTGTTCACTAGTGTTTTACTGATTAACATGTAGTCAAAGTAGCAAGAAACTTGCCATAGAATTTTTTTTTTTTTTTTTTTTTTACATGGATAATAGCCAAGATAGAACATAAACTATTGACTGATAATCTTATCGACTCAGAATCAACCAAACCTCGTTGGTCGCAAAGATTAACCTTTTCAAAGAATTGACAGCAATTTTGAAACAAAGTGGCTTTATCTTAATCCTAATTTAAGTGCATAATGATTTGCACTCAATGGATCTCAAATCCCTGGCATTCTTTGCCTTGTTTGGGACAACTGATGGAATAAAAATGTATTTGTATGTACAAAGAAACATTTATTCCTGTAATTCGTTATAATTTTCTGCATAATGATGTACACAACTAACTAGCCAACCTAGACTGAATGGAATAAAAATAACAAGAAACCTTAAGTATTGATGAAGTTAAATTGTTTACCAGCACCATTTGCTTTTAAATGCCCATAGACCTACTGGTCAGAGACCACTAATCCCAGAGAGATGAGGGTACGGGTGAACAGAGGTTTAGGGTCACCCCCTAATGAAGCCTAATCCACCAAAGGTTAAAGGTCATTGTTTATCCACTTTCCAGGACATAAGAAGGCTCTTTCTTTTATGGATGTTAAACCTCCTTTTCTTCATGCCCTCGGAGCATAATGAGAGTCCAGTCACAGTGAGAGGAGCGCCGGGGTAATTAGGCGTAGAAGCAGATAGGGTGTCTTTAAACATTAATGGAATTTATGTGGATTGCTCCAAGTGTGTCAAATTGTGTCGGAAAGATTATTCCACATAAAGGCTTCTAATGACAAAGGGATGATAAAAGCTTGTGTCGAGCTGCTTTACACAATATATATTTCTTTTAATATTCTGAGGGCGCCAAAATGCTGTTCAATCAGTTGGGTCACACGGGTATAGTGCACGCGAAACCTCATTCTTCGAGAAACTGCTCCATGTTTCAAAGTGAGCTGGGAGTAAAGTGCCGTTCATGCTGAATATTGAGAAAAAAGATGAATCGTAAATCACAAGACCTTCCAAGAATCTTCCAAGAACTTCCATTGTTAAAGGAGCTGCCGGGCCCCTCTCCCTTCAGCATGAGGCCTTTCCTCGGGCCGTTTCCTTCGCCGTGGGGGGCTTCACCCCCGAGCTCCTGTAGGTGTGCCTGTCTGTCATCTCAAGAATGTCCTGCAACACACGCAGAGGTTAGGGCACATAGAAAATCTTGTTTTAAGCATAAATGTGAAGAAAAAGTAAAGTTTAAAATAGAAAAACAATTTTTTGCCAGTGCTGTAAAAAAAAAACAAAAAAAAAAACATAGGTTAAAAATAATATGCCCGGTTTCACAGACAAGGCTTAATCCTCAGGCCTTAGTTTTAGAAACTAAAAGGTTTTAAAACTTAATTCAATTAAGTTTTCTTATTTATTTGTATTTATATATAGATTATAGTATACTTTTAGATTTCAAAATATATAATATAGCAGATTTAATAATAATAGTTTACAATAAATAACGCACACACGGTATGGTTTTTTAAAAAATATATTTATTTTAGCCTATTTTTATATATTTTCAATCAATCAATCAATCAATATATAAAAATACATTTTGTTTTTTATTTAAAATGTATTTTAAGACTGGAAATGTATATTGTCTTGACCCTTTCAGTACATTTTTAAATATATTTTGGCATTTGAAGGTTTGAACAAAATTGATTAAAAAATATATTTCCTCAAGCAAGATTTCTATTTTGCCCTATATGGGTTTTACTGAAAAATAAGAAAATCATACTACAGTATAAGTATAGTATATATAAATATAACAATTAATAAAGGTTGTCTGCATGTTTAAGGTTCCATGGTAGACAAAAAAAAGTGGTAAAATCTTTCACTAACTTTAGTTGCCCACAGGCTTAAATAGTTCATTGATGGTTTATTGGTCAAATTACTGCGACAGCATTCTTTCCTTTTATTCTTCTGAGTGAAACTCTTCTACGGGTAAAACAGGTTAATGAGCACAGTGAGAGAAGAAAATGAACAAAAGACAAGCCTTTAAACCTGAGAGATTTATTGTTTTTATAAATTAGATTTCGGAATTTAGAAAGAGGAAGAAACCAAGAAACGTACAGCAAAGAGAAGAAAAGAGAAGTAAAGAGAAGGTGAGACAGAGGGGGGGGGGGGGAAAGATGCTGTTTGTAGTGATGTGTTTTCAAAATGCAAAGCATCATGTTTTTCCGCTCGCTATCATGGGAAGTTGTCACGGTCCACGTGTGTTTGTGTTTGTGTGTGCAAGAGTTGCACATGATTTTAGTGCTTTGCATCACCCACCCAGTATATTTGTTCAAAGGTAGGTCATTCTTTAATGGAGGCATTTCCCACAGTAGTGTGTGGTTAAAAACAAACAAACATTGCAGCTGATATTTTGTTTCTTTTGTCATGTTGAAAAGAGTGCATTGCATTTGTGGATATTGCTGTACAGCGTGGCATGCAGAAAGTAGAAAATAAGTAGCTACAAGTAGCATAGTAAAAAAAAAAAGAAGAAGCTATTCTTTGTTTAGTTCATCCATCTGTGTCTGTGTTCTCCGGCCGTCTCTGCCTAGCTAATAGCTCATGACAGCCTGAGGTCTCGGCCTGTCAGCTCTACCTGCAGGGGTCTGGCCCAACGCCTCTACAGGGTAATTGTTCTGCCCCTTCCAACCCCCGTCTCAAGCTTAAATCCCTTCCCCCAAGAATGCCACGGAGGGTCAAGGTGTATGAGGGGAGAAAGAGGAAAAGAGAAAGTGTGTGAAAGAATTCAAGAGCAGTTGCTGTTTGAAACCAATTATAACTGCATGTCAGCGCAGCCAATGTAATCTCAGTTCTGCACGCCACCTCAGGACATATCTACACTTCGTCAAGACACCAACTGAACAACTGTGAGAACGGTGCCGTTACATAATGCTAGTGTAAAACTTGCACAAAAAGCATCATTTGCAAGCTAAGGGTACGTCGTTCACAGGACAACGATGTACTAAAAATGTTTTCCCTTTTGAGTACAGACGACAACGTTGTCAAAACAATCGACTAAAAACACTGTATTATTCATGCCAGGCCAGTAGTTGGCGATGTCACTTTGTAAAGAAACACAACGCCTATAGACTAAACACTTTAAATGCATGCGCATGATGCCACCGTTTACACAAATTTACATTTGAGACGCTAACGGTATCGGTTTCAAAAAAGTGCAACTTTAAAACCTATTATCAAAAGTTAGCATTTCCAGGCCCCCAAAACGGTATTGTTGTGTAAATGAATGGCCTCCTATTAGATATGTCTCGGGTTCCCTATTCAATGTTAGGTTTTTTTTTTTTTAACCCACCAGATTGCTTTTTTAAGTGAAAGTACTTAAGTGAAATATTAGTTAAAATAAAGTGACACTTGTTGCACACTGCAGTGAGCTAGATCGATATTAGGCATGGTAAATATGGTACTCGCGGTAAATTAAGAAAACGAGATTTAAACAAAAAAGACTAACCGTGTTGAGCTGTGTAACAATGATTAGTTTAAATCTTACATAGTGTACCTTTAATAAGAAAACCGAAATAGGAATAATACATAATTAAAAATAAAAACTTAATAAAATAAAAATGATTCATAAATTACAAATAAAAGAATATAAAACTTAATAAAATCAATTAAATTAAAAATGAATTAAATACATAAATAACATTAAATTCAAGAGACTAGACAGTCATTCCATCTCGTCTGTTTGGATCAAACAGTTTAGAAAGCACTCTGAGTCGGGGTCAGAGAGTTCCTCAGTGTTGTTATTGTTGGTCAGCTATGGCACCTGTTAAACATTGGCTAGGATGGAGACGTTCTGTAAAGCTTTTCCTAGAAGCTCAACTCTCTCTGGTTAAGCTGAAGAGGCAACCTTCTGTACAGTATGTGCTCATGTGGACACTGAGGGGCTGAACACAGGGGGCGGAGAAAAGCCCTTCATCCCAGCCTACCAGACGCCAGGGGTGATCCCTCACACGTGGACCACACTCCAGGAAAATTCATAGAAGTACAGAGACATACTGTACATACTGTACATGAAGACACAAATGGAAAATAACAACTACTCAAGAGGCAGGAGGGGTCAGGGAATCTAGACCAAAGTCTGTGTCTGAATATGATTAAATCTTATTTATATAGCTTACTTTAAAGGAATATTTCATTCTAAAGTAAAAAAATCTGTCATAATTTACTCACCTTCATGCCGTAATATGACTTTATTTCTTCGGCCGGCCACAGAAGCAGTAGCTTATCAGAATTTCAGAGGTTCTCTGTACTGTGAAAGTAGAGCTGTCATTGTCAGGCGCTTAAAAAAGGACATAAAAAAGCATCAAATTCCAACTTGCATTTATTTAGCTGTAAGCATACCTCTCATCAGGAAACTATATGGCTATATAATGAAGCCCTTATGTGACATTTTTAATTACCTCAAGGAAAAACTCTGCTGTAATTTCAGCGTTCTCCAGCATGTGTGGTCTGTGACTAGCCAACAAGCCTGAAGCCTTGAGAAAAGCTCTGTGAAATCTGGGTGACCAAAAAAAGTCAGTTTAGATGAAAATAGTAACATCTCTTAACCATTCCATCACTATTACTTAGCAATAATAAAGTTATGGTTAAAACCATTTACATCAGTCAGACCATTGCCATGCAGATCTGTACATAAGTTTTACGTAAAACTCACATAATTCATGAGTTGTGATAGTTTAACACACACAAAAGTAGTTTGCCTGTGTAAAACTAACAGTCATGATGCCAGGCTGTTGTGTTATTACTAGGGTGCTCTGGGTGGTTGCCAGGGTGTTGCTAGGGTGCATACCAAGACAAAAGATCCAAGGTCTATCATATTTGTTTGATCGTTTTATTGCACATTGTGGGACGAGTTAATACCTAATTATTTTAATACTTAGGATTTGTTTAAATCCCTAACCTTAAGTATGACCAATGATAATACCGATACTTGACTTCGCATGGGAGGAAGAGAGAGAGAGAGAGAGAGAGAGAGAGAGAGAGAGAGAGAGAGAGAGAGAGAGAGAGAGAGAGAGAGAGAGAGAGAGAGAGAGAAATACATGACGCCCCTTTAAAAAGGTTCCCTTTCATTTTTTCAGAAATAAGCTCTAAATTTGACCTGGGCCTCATGGGTGGGTGTTTTTGAGCCGAAAACTTCCATTTCTGTCATGTATGTCAGATGATAAGTCTTGTTTTTGCACGGGGGCTTCCCCTTGTACGCATGTTGGTGTATGACAACTCATCTCTACCTTAAGCATGATCTGACGATACAGTAAGTGAATCATAAGACACCAAAACACCATTAATGAGCTCATTGAAAGTCTCAGAGCTTCAGAGATCATTCATATTCATACCAGTTTTACTGGTGGTGGTGGATATTTTTAGTTGGACGTTCTTGTCATCAACTGTGAAGACAAGACAGTCAGTTAACTTGGTTAGATGATTGGACTGATGGTAGATCATAACACACTCCGCGCACACACACAGGAACCCAATCTCTTTGAACTCTTCTGGTAATAGGGTGGGAGCTTCAGGTGGTTGATTACTCATAATCTTCTGATTCAACCAAACAGCCGTCAGGATGTAAAAGTGTGCCATTCCCATAATATACCCTTTAACCCATCTGTTCTTGACCTCTGTGTTAAGATTTCACACTTGACGCCTCCGTCTATAAATATTTTGCTTCTTTTTTTTTTCTGTTGGAGCAACATTATGGATTAGCAAGAGCTTGTCAACACATTAAATGGACACATTTAAAAGCCAAAGGGTTCTATATGTGTCATTTCAGCTTAAAGTTTTATACTGTATTGTTAAGAAACATCAAACAAGTTAAAATCAATGTAAAAAAGTATGATGAAAACATAAAGCCCTGTTCACACCAAGAACGATAACTAGCCATAACTATATTTGCACGATATTGGTCTGTTTATTCTAAGAAAGCGCTGCAGTTTTTACGTCTGCTACTTTAAATGCTCGAGCTCTGAAAGTAGGATGGATTCTGATTGGCTGTCAATGTTTTTTATCATTCATCAGGAAAAAATAGTTCTGATTCCAACGATATCTTTTCTCCGTGTTATTGTTATTGTTGTGATTTGGACTCTGCTATTCTTTTATATTTAGAACTATATCTTTATTGTTGTTGTTACAGTCCTTGGTGTGAACAAGCATGCAGTAAGAAAGAAATGCATAGGTTAAAAACAACAATAATGTATTGCAAAATCGTTCGTGCATATACAGACCCAAAAAGCATTTGGATGCTTATTTGGACACTTAAATAACATTAATGTTTTGCTTGCACTATCTTTCTTTCAAAAAGGCTATTTGATTTCATATTTTGTTACCTAATGCAGTAACATTCAGACATGCGTTGGATAAAATGTGGAAGTAAATGGATATTTTGATAATATGAGCTTTGTCCTGTTTTCAGCCAATGCAACATTAACATAATTTCATAATTTCTGCACAGGATGTAAGCATCCTTAAATTACCTCCTAAATTATTATAGACTACGAGTCACATTTTATTGTATATTTTCATGATTACTAAATATTTACTATTTTAAAAATGCTCATGCATGAAATCATCATATACTGCAGGTTTTTTGTGATTTTATCTACAATTAAAATAAAACATATTTGTTTCTGCAACATTTTATTCCAACTCTGCATACATTTTTCCAAGAAAATAGGCCCATGGAGTTACAGTATACACTCACCTAAAGGATTATTAGGAACACCTGTTCAATTTCTCATTAATGCAATTGTCTAATCAACCAATCACAGGCAGTTGCTTCAATGCATTTAGGGGTGTGGTCCTGGTCAAGACAATCTCCTGAACTCCAAACTGAATGTCAGAATGGGAAAGAAAGGTGATTTAAGCAATTTTGAGCGTGGCATGGTTGTTGGTGCCAGACGGGCCGGTCTGAGTATTTCACAATCTGCTCAGTTACTGGGATTTTCACGCACAACCATTTCTAGGGTTTACAAAGAATGGTGTGAAAAGGGAAAAACATCCAGTATGCGGCAGTCCTGTGGGCGAAAATGCCTTGTTGATGCTAGAGGTCAGAGGAGAATGGGCCGACTGATTCAATCTGATAGAAGAGCAACTTTGACTGAAATAACCACTCGTTACAACCGAGGTATGCAGCAAAGCATTTGTGAAGCCACAACACGCACAACCTTGAGGCGGATGGGCTACAACAGCAGAAGACCCCACCGGGGACCACTCATCTCCACTACAAATAGGGAAAAGAGGCTACAATTTGCAAGAGCTCACCAAAATTGGACAGTTGAAGACTGGGAAAATGTTGCCTGGTCTGATGAGTCTCGATTTCTGTTGAGACCATTAGATGGTAGAGTCAGAATTTGGCGTAAACAGAATGAGAACATGGATCCATCATGCCTTGTTACCACTGTGCAGGCTGGTGGTGGTGGTGTAATGGTGTGGGGGATGTTTTCTTGGCACACTTTAGGCCCCTTAGTGCCAATTGGGCATCGTTTAAATGCCACGGCCTACCTGAGCATTGTTTCTGACTATGTCCATCCCTTTATGGCCACCATGTACCCATCCTCTGATGGCTACTTCCAGCAGGATAATGCACCATGTCACAAAGCTCGAAAGGGGGTCAAACACAGGATTAGTATGGTGTTCCTAATAATCCTTTAGGTGAGTGTATATGGAGTTGTATTCTCTGCACCCAATATACATATGAGATTTGACAAACTCAGAGTTAATTTTGCCAGCCAAATTAATTAAATTAGTGCTCTCATCATGACCACATAAAACCATTCAAAAACATGAACTTCCTGTTGACTTATGTTGAAGCAGAATAAAGCTAATTATATTATGTAATTGTAACTCTTTGGGCCTATAAACACTGATTTTAACATCAGGGTGGAAATCATGCAAATGAGAGAGACGTGAAAGAAACACTGGTAAGCGTCAGGAAACGTTCCTTTTTTATGTTAAACGCAGATGGGGAGCTTCCCCCTAAGTTTCCTGTGAGTAAAGTGCTAGCTCAAGTGCTACAACAGAAAGTACGGGGTGAATACCTACATATGACATTCATGTGAAATTTCCCTACATAACTCCATTGTGTGGGCTTCGCTGACTTCTTGATGCGCTTCAAGTATTTCAGTGTGAAAAACCACAAATTTGAATCGCTCCAAGAAGTAATCGAGTCACATTTTACAAGAACATGCATAACAATCAGGGTTATGTTCATGCACTTTGGAGGTGGTCAGATCTTTAACTTTCAAAAAAACAAAAAAAACACCAAAAAGCCTTTTAGCATCTTTAAACGTTCAGGAAACGCAGTTTGCATTTTCTGTTAAAATCGCTACCGTTTTGCATAACACGGCATCAAGAAGACGTTCTCCAGATAAATGGCTAAAGGTTTTGGTTTGTGCATGGCCTCAGGTTCCGTTACCTCTATGAGTGATGAGTGTTTCCATAGCGCATGCCTCTCAATGGGAGGATTTCCCCTTGTTGTTCAAAGCTGCACTCATGACTCTTTCACTCGCTCTCTTTCTCATTCCACCCCTCTCTCTTATTCTCTCAGGCTGAGGGGGCTTTTCTTCGTTTTGCCTGTGGAGAAACGGGTAAAAAAAAGGAGGGGGGGGGGGGGGATGGGACTTTCAAGAGTGATATGACTAAACTGCAAAGGTGCAAATGTCTCACTACAGGCAGGTGGTTAGATGCACTTCAGTGGTCTCAAAAGTGTGTTTTCAGCCCCCACGCATCTTACTGCAAAGTATGATGAGGTTTGAATCATGGTAGTTGTTAAAAAAAACCTCCAGATGCATTACAGTAATGGAAATTGTGGCTGAAATGTGCTTAATTGTCATGAAACTTGTAAAGTAAGGCTAAACACTTCTTTCTGTCTTTTAATTCTAATTTCTTAAAGCATGAGATTCACCTGTATGCACTTCATTCCAGTGGGAAACATTTTCAGGATCACCGCTGGCATGTATTTAACTTCTTCAGCTTGTTACTACACCTGCAGAGATCATAAGAACACGATAAGCTCTTTAACACACAGGAATGTGACAAGACACAGAACAATTTACCTAGAGGGGATTATTCAAATTTATTCAAATAAAGGTGAGGGCAAAATAAGATGTTGGAGAGCAGAATGTAAAGCATGTTTACGACTCAATCTGTTTAGCCTCAGGTCAAAATATACACATATAGGTAATATATATTTAAAGGTTTTACCAAGTAAAATTTATGTCTTTCCAAGTATCCGTGAGATACACATGTCACTGAATTAAAGGGACCAAGATCTCCTACTAAATACTGGGACAAAGTTCAGTAGTATGATTAAAGTGCTCAGCCAAGCTTGGTTTACATTCCCTGGTGATTGATATGTGCGTGTGTGTATGGATGGTGGCTGACGTATCACTATGATTTCAAGGCCAGATGACTTTCTGTGGAGAGGAGGACAAACACGAGACCGAGTTCAAATGATTGCATATGTGTGTGTAGTTTGGAAGTGAATTGGATTGATCGGGTCATTGTATGAATGCCAGCTTGATAAAAATGCAGAAATACAAAGATAGTAAGTCTCGGCTCTGTTTTATATCCACTCTATTCCATTCTAGGGAGTTCTTTCTGAGAAGTTGGATTTCTCTATATTCACCATGTGGCACATAGAACCCTATCATAGAGGTTAGTCAGAACGAGTCCTCGTGACACCAGCACATTTTGGTCAGATAGAATTCCTTGATGTCTAGATATAGTTCCTTGAATTCTGCATGCCAAATTTCAAGCATGTTGCAGTAAATTTGGTGTTCAGGTTATAAAAAACAACTCATTGTTCTATATTCATGCACTGCATTTCTCTTACCCCATGCACTGGCCATTTTTTTCTTCCTTTTAAGCACAACCACACTAAATTTAGTGAGATCTATGCTTTATAATCTTAATAATTTTCTAATGGGATGAGAAAAATAAAGTTAATTCATAATATCTTGTGCTATTTTGCTTCTCATGTATATTTACCCCTGTTTTAAAGGTGTCTAGACTATTTTAGCGGAAAACAAGACAAAAGTATTGATTAAAAAGGTTATTTTTTCAGTGTGATTAATGCATATTTAAATGTCATTTTGTTTCAGAATGTTTGATTTCACAGTACGTTAAATTTGAATATTCAAAAAATTATTGTTTCTTGCTTTGCATTCCCAGTTTGAAAACACCGATTCAAATCGAATTATTTTATACAAATCATAAACAAATCAACATATGCTGTTTGTAAAACCCCTACACAACTCATTTCAGTTCTGTAATATGATGTTTGTAACATCTTCAGACTTGTCAGAGTTGAATGTGCGTGCTTGTGTGTTTCTGTCACGTGTGTCAGAGGGAACATGTGCGTGGGAGATTTGTGGGAGAATGTCCTGTGACAGCAGCATGAAATGGGCTGAGTGACAGTGGACAGCTGAGAGACGTCAAACGAGACAAAAGGACAGTATATATGTGCCGGAGTGCGTGAATGTGTAAGAGGAGAGAGCGCATCTGTGTATCTGTGTGTGTCTGCAGTGGGGCAAACCATTTTACATTCCTCAGACGCAGTTGTGTTTTGCGTGATTTATAGTTTGTCTGAAGCGGTGGCGAGTAAAAGGCGTAATTACAGATCGTTCTGTACAGGATTCTTACATATGGAAATACAAAGGGTCACGCCTGCGAATGAAAACAGATCATTCACTTAATGACTGGCTGCAAAAGACATCTTATTTACAGAACCGTTTACTATAAATCAGCTAGGCCATATTAACCCATTCGTGTCATTCGTTTGGCTAAAACACATCATCCTTAAAGGGATAGTTCACAAAAAAAGAAATTCACCCTGACAATGTTCCAAACTGTAATTCTGGAGAATGTCCTTACTCTTAGACACTGTTTACACTAGTGCGTATAACTTTTGCTGCGGTTCCGCCTGGCATCCACACTACTCCAGAGTTTTTGACCCTCAAAAACGGAGACTTTTGGAAACGCTGCAGACAACTCCAGGTCACGTGTCAGTGTAGACGGGTCAAAGCGGAAACTTTTTTGTTTTGTGGCGTGACTGCCCACATTCGCTCCTGGATTGGGCCTTCTGGATCATTGCGTATCCTTCACCGATTCGTCAAGCCCCAATCATATGACCATTACGCTACAGGAACACGACAATACCAGAGCAGAGCAGTCTCTCTCAACGGCTCTGTAACAGTCCAGCCTTGACGACCGTGTAAACAATAACATGGAGGCGGAACTGCAAGCTTTGCTGACTTTGTTGTCCTTATTAGCAGCCATTGTGGAGTTAAACTCTGCATTTTATAATACTGCAGCTGCCTATATCGAAAGACGCAAGCTATTATTAGAGGAATCAGCAACAAACGGCAACGGTTTCCGCTTGTACGCGCATGCCGTGTGCATGAATGGTCATGTGACTTGCATTTTCGGTCGTGTAGTGTGGACGGAGATTGCTTCTGAAACGCCAGTGTGGACGAGGATCGTTTTAATCCTCTGCACTGTTAACTTAAGAAAAGGTTCTATATAGAACTATAAATAGTTTTAGATCTTTTTAGGCGTTCCCATCATGAGATCATTATGCATTTAGTTTTCATCAAGTTTTTATTTTGGATCATTTTATGAATTTACCAGCTCATAAACATACTTTATCACTAGAAAATCTGTTAACCATGAAAGTATTATGCAATCATTTAAGACATTTAGAACCTTTCTGGCATAAAGCACTTTGGAGCATTTTGGATCTTTTTATTTTCGTTAAATTCAAATGAGTGTTTACAGTCTATTCGTTTGAAATTCTCCATTTGTGTTCTTCAGAAGAAATAGCATCACATGAGTTTGAAAAGACACGTGGCTGAAGTAAATGAATGATTTTTGGGCTAACAAATGAATGTTTTCATGAGTTCAACCCTTAAAGTTTCATGCTCCGTTACAAACTCCAAAAGAACAATTTTTCTTATCTGAGTCTAGATGTAATCAGTGTGGTCCTGAATCAGGTTTTACAAATAGTTTACAGTTTATCACACGACTGCCAGCTGAGATACGTCAGGAATCTAAAGTTCACTGAACCCTCTTTGTGCAGTAATGAGGATCCATTAGCACGTAACTCGACACTGTTCTTGGATCAGAGGCAGCAGATGCTGATGTCTTTACACGGCTATTAGCAGGAGGGGTAATCTGCACTCTCAACATTAAATGAAATTAAGAAGAGCTGAAAACTGGAAAACTTGCAGAAAGGGAAAGCTTGTTTAAAAACAACATATGTTGTGTTATAGATGCTGGTCCTCAATAGACTTCATAACTAGCTATCCAGTAGACTTCATTGGACAGACATTGCTGGCTAACTTCACCAGCATGGTTATGATGGTCAACTAGCTAGACCAGCACCAATCCACCATGCAAATGTAACAGACGTAGGCCAGTGAGAGCTGTGCGTGTAAACCTCACCCCCCTAATCTCAAGAAGCGCTCTAGCGACTGACACTAGAGACTGCTCTCTTTAGCCTCTTTGTTAAAGTGCCCGCCTCCCATGTGGACGGGCCCGGGTTCGAGTCCTGGTTCGAAATGGGGAAACAAAATCAATCTGTAGTTATTGGTATCCCGAACAGAATATTGAGACCATAAAATATTTATTCAGTAATGGACAGTAGCAATAGAAAATAGTTACATCTAATTCATGAATTAAATTACAAAATATGACCTGATCTGACTCATATTAATTACTTTTGTTGATGTAACCTAATATAGTCAAAGTGATTCAAATATGTTAAATTCTATATTGGAATTAATAATAATAACACTTTTTTATTTTATTAAACCTGATTATAAAGATCTTGGTAACCAATCACTCTCAACATTTAAATATGAACTAGAGCAATCATTTAATCTCTTTGCACTGTTTCTAGAATTTTTGTTTAAAAAAACCCCATCTGTACACAGAAGAGCACTTGCCACTTTCTGAGTTTTGACCTCCCCCTGTTGGAGAAGTGTAAGCTTGAGCATGTCACTCAGGACTGAGGTCAGGAGGTGAGGTCACTCCTTAAGGAACCAACCAAAGAGCAAAGACAAAGAGCCGCCTCCTTTAAAAGACCAAAGGAAAGGAGACGAGAGCCAGACAGATGCACTATCTGAGGTTTTAAAAGAATAAAGTGCAGCCTTTATCAAGTGTACCTAAAAGACAATTCGTCTCTGACTTCTCAAACAAAGAGCTCACATTGATGAAGTAGTCAGACTGCATGAATCAAAAGCATTGAAGCTGATGACATCTTTTCTTATCTTTTAAACCCCCTGAATTGGGTGTTTAGTGATATTTAAAGGTAAATGTTGTTATTGCCCAATGTTTTCCTCTCCATTTAAATGAGCATGATCAATACGCTTTTGTAAGAGCAGTTATGCCAATTCTAAACACACTTGAGGTAGGCTCTCAAATATTGTGTACACATGTAAAGTACTGCAATATCAGTAATAACTTGCTTAATTACTTGGTTAAAGCTGCAATAGTCATCAAATTAAACTCATGGTTAGTGGATGAATCATGAGAACCACAAAGAAAGTTCTGCATGCAGTTCATTCTAAGAATCCTTCTGAGCGTTTCCCTTCAGAGAATTTGCTTTGAGGTCATAATTTCAACTTCAGTATTAAAACAAATGAATTGATACATAGGTGAAGCTTACATTAACATATAAAAGGTCGAGACAAATAAAAGCATTTTGCATAAAGAAATAAAATTTAAAGACCATCAAGATTATTTTTATGATAGTTAAGCACATTTTCACAGAAATTCTTTCACCCATTTTTATTATTGTCACAAAAATATTTTCATTTTTGTCTCTTTTTCTTGTAAACACTAATAAGGTAATCATTAACATCCGTTTTTTTTTTAAGTTAATAAGCTCCACAGATTAATTTCATTTAACTCCAAATCTTGGTTTACTACACAAGCATGTTAATTGCACTAACT